CGTCGGGAGTTAAGATTGAAAAACATAAATGACAAGTCTCCTTGTCGGCAACTTTCTCAAGTCTACCTCTTATGTCATCCATGTTGACGTGCATTCAATGGCTTATCTATAAGTCCATGACACTTATGTCATCCATGTAATGTTTTTGTATTATGTTGTTAATGTTTTAGTTAGTAGCTTAGTTTAAATAAGTCAATTTAGGTTCTAACTTGGGGTTTGGCTAATCGTTTTGCATGTTTGATGCTTTGAAAGTTTAATATGTCACTTTCTGTCACCAAAAGGAGTTGGGATTCGCTTTGATGGTAAGCATTCGGGTTTCATTTATCTAGCTAGTTCTAAACGGGAGTTGTCTTAGACTAAACTTGCTTGTTCCATCTCACGTTGTGATGACGGTTGTGAGAAATATATAATTAAGTTGAGATGAAATGTAATTTGTTAATTGATTAACAACGAATGATGTGCAATGTGAACACAGAACGCGCTTGTAAAAAGTAATGGTCCGATGTTGAAATTAAGTTTGTACAAGAATGTTATTAATTACACTTCCAAGACGCAAAAATAACCTTCCCACACTACAACAAAATTGGGTTTATAGGACGCCCACAATCTATAAGTGTCCCAATAGACCGTTTTATAGGACTTAATTTATAGGACCAAAGTATAAAGTGTCCTATCTAAAGGTGTTGTAATAAGATTATATGACGCTTTTGGATGTCTTAACAAGTTTTTTAGGACATTTTTAATACAAAATGTCGCATTAGCAACTTTATATAGGACACTTTTGAGAAATTGTCCTATAAACTCAATTTTTTATAGGACACTTGATTTTATAGGACAATTTTTCAAATAGTGTCCTATAAAATTGATAATGGGACACTTTATATTAAAAGTGTCCTAAAAAACTTATTACGAAATCGAAAAACGTCATATAAACTTATTACAACATCTACTTTATTTTTTTGGTCCTATAAACTAAGTCCTATAAAGAGTCTATTAGGACACTTAGAATTTGAGAGTGTCATATAAACCCGATTTTGTTGTAGTGCCAATAGTAAGATATTGGTTTAGCAACATAATTAACTAAATTGGTTTTGAAATGGGTTGCACATAAAAAAGAACTATAATAACCATCACAGGAACTTAATTAATTGAATCAGGGAAAACGCTTATATTATTTTAAAAAAAAACAGTATTTTATAAGAACTCTTTTATTATAAATTCATGCCCATTTAACCACCTCCCCGATTGAATGAGTTGTCAGAATCAAATATCTTATATAGCTTATACTGATTTCTCTTCGTTGACATGTTTTTGAGCAAAAAATGGGGAACTCTTTTGATTCAAGTACATCTATATCGTTTTCTTGAATAAGGTTCAATTATGCAGACAATGCAATTTTAGTTTTCCTGATCTCTTTTGATTTATGAAAAGTCATTTATCTTGAACTGGAAGGGTCAAACACTGGAGTTGAGTGTCCAATTCAAATCGTAAAATGATGCGAATTTAGTTTTTATGAACTATTTTCTTCAACTTTTTTCTAGGAAATTATATGTGCATGGTAGCCCTTTATTTTTCCGAGACCATAAACAACATTGCTTAACTAAGCATTAACATATTCCTTTAATTTGATCATCCAAAGTAGACAACTCGATACATTTAAGTTTTCACACTACGTCTCGTGAACGTTATATATTTGTTTACAATAGTTAAATTTAATATTAGAGAAGTTCTTTAGACTTATTCTAAAAGATATTACAAAAATTACATTCATGAACTTGTTACAAATGTGATTGTAAGGATAAATATAAGTAATTTTTTATTTTTGTCGGTTCATGAGCTTCTTTTATTCCAAATTTGTTTTCACGCTTGCAAAATCTCTTGACTTTTGTCCCACCAAATAACTATTATTAAAAATTTCTATTAATAATTGTATTATTTTTCTTCATCTTCTCAAAATAAACACATAAAGAACATTTTAATGAAAATCAATAACATAAAAACAACAAATTCAATCAAAAAATTTATAATATAAAACTCATATAGTAATTTGTATGCACATCCATACATACACATACACATACACACACACATTTTATATGGCACTTGTTTTTATAGAACAATTTTTCAAATAATGTTCTATAAAATTGATAATGGGACGCTTTATATTGAAAGTGTCCTAAAAAATTTATTACGACATCAAAAAATGTCATATAAACTTATTACAACACAGTTAGATAGAACAATTTATTTTTTTGGTCCTATAAACTAAGTTCTATAAAGAGGTCTATTAGGACGCTTATAATTTGGGAGTGTCCTATAAACCCGATTTTGTCGTAGTGAGATGTTAACCCTTTTGAGACTCTGAAAGAGAGAAAGATAAACGGATTCATATAGGTGATTGATATCGTGGACCGTCTTTTTGTTGAATGTTTTCATAATGTGAATCAAAGATGCCAAAAAGAGTTCTAGACTATTAAGAAGCAGTATCCCTTCAGACATTTGAATGCAAATTAAACTCTTATTCTTCCATTTGTGTAATAATAGATCTGGAGTAGTCTTCTTTCATCACAGATCTTCATAATTAAATGTTGAGGTAATTAAATGTGTATTATTTGCGGAATACCTTCTGACTTATATTTGATGAAGAAGGGATTTAAATGCTAAGGGTTAGTAAGAGTATTACACTAACACTTTCAACTAATCCAACAAATGATGTTTACTCAAAAATTATTTACTTATCGAGTACTGAAACTATTGACAGTAAGCGAACTACATTAGTTCTTCTTGCATTTTTGAAACATGATCCAACAGAAACGGGTGCTGAAGTAGATCCACTTTGGGTCCTTAACACATAATCAGAAGTCGATGGACCTTTCAGTCGATGGAATGGAATTCTCTATTTTTATAATACCAAATATGCTTTTAACCCAATATACCCTAATATCATAAAACCCAATATGACCATTGCTGACCACCTTCATTTGAATCGTTGCCGAACACCGCCGACCACCACCATCTAAACCACCACCGATTATTGCCATCTAAACCACCGTTGACCATCGCCATTTGAACCATTACCGACCACCACCGACCACCATCGAGCTGAACCACCGCCGACCACCACCGATCTGAACCACCATCGACCATCGCCAATCTGAACCACCTATCTGATCCACCATCGATCACCGCCATTTGAACCACCATGGACCACCACCGATCTGAACTACTGTCGACCATCGCCATCTGAACCACCATAGAGCACCATCGATCTAAACCACCATCAACTACTATCGATCTGAATCACCGTCGGCCACCGCCGATCTGAACCACAAGTGACCACCTCCATTTGAACCACCAGGGACCACCATCGATCTAAACCACTGCCAACCACTGCCATCTGAACCACTGTGGACCACCACCGATTCTAAACCACCGTTGACCATCGTTGATTTAGTAACCTCCTTTGACTTATGGTTATATTTGGGTTGTGTATTTTATATTGTTTTACATATTAAATAATTATTTTATTAAAATATTTTTAGTTTTAAAAAAATGAAAATTTTCAAAAGAAGGGCATTTTGGTCATTTACCAATATTTCATTTCAATTCCAAAGCTATATTCTATGAACCAAACAGACAAATTCTAATTTTTTTAACAGATTTCATTCCAATGTCTGCCAACTAAAAAACAGGTGGTCAAACCTGATAACATTTAATTTCAATTTCTTCATAGTCAAATTCCTTTAAAAGATTCAATTTCATCCAAAAATATTCTAAGAACCAAATGCTACCTAATAAGGAGTTACAAAGTCTATGAGGAACATATAGAAAGTTGGGGGTTAGCTTAAAGTTCAAGATATATTTAAGATAAAAGGAAGCTATCGGAGAAGGTTATGTTGAGAATTCAAGATGTATGTAAATTTACTTTAAAAAAACTTGTGCATAATGAAACACACATTTATTATATGGGGAGAACAACGTCTTTTTCTTATATTAGACATTTAAAAAAATAAAAAAAAATCTAAAAAAAAAGGATTTTAATGTTAGAAGATACCATATAAGCAGTATTGGTTTTTCTTTTATATATATATATATATATATATATATATATATATATATAGATTTGAATACCTTTTTAATTGTTATCTTCAAGATCTTATAAAATTAATTGAAGTAAATGTACAAAATTGTTGTGACACTCAAGGTTAAAAATGATCGACTTAGAAAAGTCAATAGATTACAAAAGTCCAATTTGAATTGTGACGTTTGACTTCTATTTCTCCATGAAAATAGGTACAATGGAAAGTTGTGGATGTTTTGTCTTTTCCTATGCAAGTTGATTAATCTTAGGGCGACCACCTACTTTGTGGATAGTTCGAAGTTATCGTATTTAAACCTCCGTGACCATAAGAGGATTTTTATTTCTCATTAGATTTGAAACCGAGACTTTCAGACACTTTTAATCTTTAAAGCCCAAACACAAACCAATCAAACACAAACCTTATAATTGCTCAATCCTTTTAATAGATTGATGGTTAACTAAAGTAGTTGGTTGTTAGTTGGAAGAGGGTATAATTAAATACCATTTGAGAAACCTTGTAGCCATAGTGGATCCAAAATGGACATTAAGTAATTTCCCTTACTTAGTACGTAGTCTACTAATTTAGTGTTAGTTATACGTAAACTAGTTTACTTTTTGTCGTTTATTGCTTTCCCTCTCTTGTTAAATTGTTTAATTTGTTTTTGAAAACCAAGAAAATCCTCAAGTGGTTGGAGGTAAATTAATTCCTTCCTTCATCCTAAAATAAGGGGTGTTTGGGATTATTTATAAAAACAACTTATTGACTTATTTTGGTATAACATCGGTAATAAGCATTTTTGAGTGTGTGGATAAACAACTTATACCAGTGTGAAACTAGTAATAAGAAGTTTTTGAAGAAGTTAAACTCTTCAAACTTATGATAAGGTGATAAGTGTTTTTGTAAAAAACATAAATTGTTTCAAATAAGCAATCGCCAACACCCCCTAAATGACTACAATGAAAAAAAGCATAAAATTTATATGATTATTACCCTTTTTTTAAATAAGAAAATGACAGTTACCCTTTTATTATCCACCTTATAATTAATTAAATGTAGAATGAAAAATTAAACAACTACTTTTAAAAATAGACACTTTTTTTAAAAGAAAAAAAAAACAAACATATTAACAATGTAGCAAACGCTATTAAAAAACTGGGTATCTAATATAAATGGCCGTTGAAGATTTTAGATGACATATTGATGGATTTTCAATGAATGATTAGAAAAATTCAAGAAACATTTCTACATCAAATAACTAAGGGGCTGTTTACCTAAATGTTTATCCGGTAAGTGTTTATCGTTGGAGTCAACACTATAATTTATTTTCTAGGTAAGATTGTAGTATATCAAAATGGTATTGTGTGCAACAATATATATGTTAAGCGCTTACTAGAGTAAGAGTTGTCACCCTCACTTACCGGGTAAGACTCTCTATTCTTATCATCATTTTTATCAGGTAAGATTCTTGGATCTTGTCATGCTCGTCCGGTGAGGTAAATTGTCCACTAAATACTTACCGGGTTAAGCGTTTAGTAAACGGCCCCTAACTTTTGCAAGTTAGAATTTTCAATTTTCAAAGAGGCAGTAAACTCAAGCTTTATGTTTATTCCAACCAACAAATTAATATCACTAGAAAAAAAAACCTGTGAACTCTGTGTCTACAATCTGTAAATTATGTTAGATGAATGAAAGCATTGGCAATGGCAGGTCATGTCCGGATGACATTTCTATACAGTAGATACCTTATAGTACCCATCAAATTACATCTGACTACCAACGAAATGATATTTTGGACCTCCATTCTTGCACAAACTACGCAAGTTACAGAGATCATAAGGGCTAAAGCTGAAGTCACCCCACTAATAATAAACAAACCACCAAATCTATCAAGCTTCAAGGCTTTGGACATTGTAGAATTCCTTGACGGGATAGAAAGCCGATTCTCAAACCACTTCTTCTCCAAACTTGCTAGAGTTCCGTCTAATCTCATTTTGGCGATTTCTCTTGACACATCTTGTACCAACGGCGAACCTTTTTGGAAGATCTGAAACGACAATGTATTTACGTGTCAACCAGATGTGTCTGTATAGGGGTTGGTTCAAACAAAAGGGCAGTAAAAACTTACGAGAAGGCAAGTCACATGTGATTTACAATACGTTCAGAAGGATCACATTAGCCAACTATTGCACGGCTGAGTTTTCGCGTCGCATTTACCACTCGCCCGCATCCTTCTGGACGTGCTGTAAGTCATATGTGATTTGGCCCTTATCGCACTTCTTTGTAAGTTAGACCACATACCTTCTCATTTGATATGTGTGCATGTAAAATAGTGCAAGTGATGGAGAGGAAAGGGGAACTTACAAAGCCAAAACCAGAAGTGATGGGTTGAGACGAAACCAAGGCATAGTCGCCTGATGAGTACTTGCCAAGAAACATCTTGATGTAAGGAATCTCATCAACAATGGCATCAGCTTCACCATCTTCTGATAAAGCATGGGCATAATCCTCATATGAGTAGTATGCCCTCTTCATATTATCTTCAAAGTGCAAATTGCTGACTGTTACTCCTCTCATAAAAGAACCTCCATGAAACCCCACAATTCCCCCTTTTGACACCAATTCAAATTGCTCAACTGTCAACAGTGAAGCCAATGTTGCTGTGTAGCTTGTGATCAAGATAAGCACCACTAGTAACCAAACAAACATTACAAATCTTGACAGATTGTTCGACAGCTTCTCTCCTATATGAATACAAACACGATAAATTCTTAGATCTTGATTTATTAGATTCTATTTCAGATAGTAAAATAATTAAGCATCTTAGAGAGAAAGAGGGAGAACTTTGAGCGAAAAAAATGGTCAATAGGATGAGCCAGAAGATTGTTCCAATTCGTTGAGCTGGTGAAGATTCAGATTCTTGATTCATACATTCAATTGCCCAAACCACAAAGCCAGTTACCATAAGAGAAGCAATAGCAGTTAGCCATAGACCCACGTCCAGTGGCTTCAAGAAGAACCACATGTCGTTTTTCTTGATTCTGGCAAGTGTTCCTACACCCAAGTCACTGTAAGTCGACGTAAAGTCAACATACTCAGATCTGTTGGCCAAGATTGTTGAATCCCCCACGACTGCGTCAATTTCCTGTCCAGAAACAAGCCATTTGACGAAAAAATTATATCTTTCGGAGTAAAAGCATATATACATTTTGTTTTAAAGAGCAGTTGTAAACATTTGTACCTGATTATACACCTTCTGCACCAGATCGTCATAACTGGCATTCTCAAATAAAATGAATTTGTGAGGTACTTCATATGTTAACGCGCGAATGCAAGCATTGAATACATCTATAGAGAACCCAGTGGCATTTGTAACATTTTTCTCCACATCATTCTCTACATCCATGAAGTGCTTAAAGTTTTTTATCTTTAGAACACCAATGTTTAACTCTTTACCAGGAAATGTGTGTAACATCCGACCTTTTGGAGCAGTTGTAGACCGTCCGGGCCAGATAACAGCTTCAGTATGCATACTAGAATATCTATGACCGCGGTTAATCAAGGGGTATGCTTCCTTGATACCTTCTGATAATGTCCAATATCCTACTCGCTTCTCACCATAGTCGATGGCATTCATAATCTCATATCCATTGGAGATAACTTTTCCTTCACTAAGTTGAAACTCACCACTTATGCCCTTAAACCTGATTTTCAAGACCTCGTTTAGAAAAAAAGGACCATTTTCTAGGACTTCAACTTTCTCAAAAGACTCCGCAAGTGCCCAGATTGTGTCGTATGCCCGTAAGGCAAACACAGGTACCTCCTTTGTTACCGATGTAGGGTACTTTCTGTAAAAGAAGTTGTGCCATCTTGCTGTTAAGTTATGCAGCCTGCTTGATGCCGGAACATACGGCCTAAAACCTAGTACCCCTTGTATTGACTCGATAACTTCAAAGTCTGTTGATCGCAAGACGTCAACTGTTTTTTCTGTTAAAATCCATGCATATTCTTCACTCATCATTCCCAACTTTTTTGCATTTAAGAAAAGTCTAGATGCAAGTGAAGGTGACATATGTACAATAATTACAGTTGTCTGAAAATTCATGAGCTTATGTAATTGTTCAATTATTTCATCACTTGTGGCCAAGAGAGAAATGGCATTTCTGTAAGTGATCTGGATGCTTTTATCCTGGAATGACTCAACCAGATAGGGTAAGATCTCCCTCCCATCTTCAGTGTCCTCATAAACGAAGATAGCATGCCTCCATTTATATGATTCCACAACGGCAGCAACGCATTTGGCCATCATGGATTCATCGTCTTTGATATGGAACAAGTAAGGGTATTCCATCGAAGATGAAGCAGCAATAGAAAATATAGGAACTTTAGCTTTGTCAGCAAACAAGGACAATAACTTGGGTTGAAGATGCGTTTCTGGGCCTATGATGGCTTTCACCTTCACGTTTTTGAGAAGATGATCTACTGTTTGATCAGGCAAGTAAAAAGTAACAAGTTTCAAGAAAAATTAAAAGATATATCTAGAGTGAGAGTTCAAGGAAATAAACTAACAAAATATATACCAGCTGAAAGAGCTTCTAATGGATCTCCCTTGGAGTCCATTGTGTGAAGAACTATTCTCGTTCTGTAACTGTGATTAAGAGCATAAAAATCAGATATGGCCATGGCAATGCCCTTGTGAATGGACCTCCCTATTAATGACTCCATATCTAGAACAATCCCCATGCCTATTAAGGTTTCGTCATCTGTGTTAATGGAGTGCGATACTAATGGATGGTTTAAAACGCAGAAGAGTATTAGAAGGGAAGGAATGATCTTGTTGAGCACCATCGAATCCTTGCAGATGGGTGCTTGTTGGGAACTACTTGCACAGTTATAAGACTTTTAACGTGCAGTGAACGCAAAATATGGTAATAAAGTATGATGATTGACTTTAGTGCATCGATGTTGCATTGACTTTAGAACACCAACGTATAACAATGAGTTGACAATCACGAACTGTAAAGGAATCTTGAATTGTTAAATCTAATATGAGAATATAGTTTGTGGTCTACAACTTTTATAACTAATTTAATATATGTATTTTGTAATTATCTAATAAACTTTGATTATCTCCATTAACTTTGGAAGTTACAAGGATGGTCATCAAGATTTCATTTTTATTACGAAAATCATCCCGGGTCATATGTGGTTAAGTGCTCCAAGTGTAAGTGATATGAGGTCACTTTGGTCATTTTGCATGTATGTTTTATAAACTACTTGTTATTGTATAATTGTTTAAAGTTTGAGTACAAGCCACCAAATGTTTACCTATCATTAAAAAAACAAAACTTATCTTAATTAACACCCCATGTCATCCACTCACCTCAAATACCTTAAAGTATCTTCAATAGATTCTCAATTGTCAAGATTAGAACCGGATTTGATTTATCAAAAATGATAAAAGGAGATGAAGCTTGGAGCCAAAGATTGCTCTGTCATATTGATTACAGACGACAATAAATCAAAACAGTATATACAAAAAAGTTATACTAAATAACAAAATTAATCCCTGAACTATTGAGAAAAGACTAAAAGGGAACAAAACAATATATAATTCTAACACCACCTCCACATCAAAGTCAAGATGGGGAAGAATGAACAAGTTTGAGTTTTGAGACGAGATTTAGGAAACGACCTGGAAGGTGAGAAAATGGATGTAAAGGATTGTTTCTCGTTCCAATTAGCATCCGGGTAACCCTTGAGAATTAAAGACAAAAAATTGGCAGAGAAGAATAATCTGTGGTACATTTAAGGTACCAAAGGTTATGGAGAACAACTCCATAATTTTTTTTGAAACAACCAGTTTTGCATAGAAAGCTAGCAAGCAGCTAGTGATAACGGAACATTACAATGACCTGAAATAGTCAATAGGATGGGACCTCCACAATAATGGATCGCTCACTCCCCTTGCACCTAGACAAAACCCAACTATAAGACTTTTCCATAATTTGGTCCATTATGGAATCCGTACGAGCGAAGAACATGTCCATAATGATCTGAGCAAGGAGCAACCATGAATTGACTCACAACGTGAACAATATATTCAATATATGGTCATGTCACGGGAAGGTAGACTAACGACCCAACAAGTTGATAGTATTGAGTGGGATCGTAGATGGGAGATCTAGCACCAGGAGCAAGGTTGGGCTCTTGAGTAGTAAAAGCAGTCTTGTCGTATTAAGTGAGTATAACTATGAAGTAGACACATGTTCATTAAGTGAGTAGACACATGTCCATAAAAAGATACAGTGCGGCGCGTGACATCAACAATTGAGATTGAATGAAGAGACCGTGGTGGTAGTTTGTTGGCAAAGGAATCTGAATGTGGTGTCATATGGTTGCAACAACATGAATCAAATAGCCAAACGTTACCTGAAATATATGTCATATCATTTTGTACCCATAAAACTGGCTATGAGTTGAGCCATTATCTCCAAATTACGCTTCATTAGATTCATGAGGTCATTGCTCGAAGGTAAAGTAGATATGGCATGAGAGTGAGGCACATAGGTATGATTTCATGAACATTAGTTTTTTTACCTTTAGGTAATATTATAAAAATTTATGTTGCTTTTAATTATTATATGATACTCCATCTGCTCCAAAAAGTAAAGTTGCAGTTTAACAATGGAAAAGTCGAACGGAATATTCTTAGAGTTCAAGTTTTATGGATTTTAAACAGTCTGATAAAGAATTGATAACTAAATGAAAATTGCTTGTACTAAATTGAGCACTTAGCCATTTTGAATGTTTTAGCCCTTTGCCAACCAAGTATCCATGGTGCAAAAAGAGAAAAAGAAGGCAATTTAGTTGCAACATGAGGGGCTTTGAACAAATTAAATAAATAAAAATGAAAAGAACAAGAAGAAAATTCTATAATAAGAGATCAAAAGATCAATATGTAGTTTTGTTTTAGGTACACAGTTGCTACTCTTTTAGATATGCTAGTCACTACAAAGATCTTGTACCTTTTTTTGTTAAATACCCACAATCTATTTTCTATTTATCAAGTTTAAAGTTGGACAATTTGCAAGGAATAAGAAAAAGTTGTTAATAAATTGAATTGCATCCTAAATCAGTAACATCTAAAAACAGATGGACTAATTGCTTAATTGTAACTCCTTACATTTTGTATAAATCCTACGAGAGTCACCACCCTCAGTTTCCTTTCCGAGTAAGATTGTTGGTAAACATCATCATCTCTGGCCATGTTGATAAGCATTGGCCTAGTAAAAGTCACCACCCCCACATACCGGGTAAGATTATTGGTCAGTACAAAATGGTACCATAAGGGGGTGTTTGGTTCACAAAAGGGAATTTGATGGAATTGGAATATGTTGGGTCGCCTATTGATTTGGTGATGACCCACTGATCTGTTCCTCTACCCTAGCAACACTTAGTAGTTATTGGTTTCTTTGTATCTTGGTACATACTTAAAGCCATTGGCAAAATCGAAGACTAGTCGATGTGAAGATAAAAGGTCACCGATGCGGTATTGTGGATCAACTGTCTAATTTACATACCAAGATTCCAGAGTAGCTAATATGAAAATTGAAAACATTTTGAAGTTACAAGCCGATTGAAGGAAGATCTTCAAGGACCAAAGATTGAAAATCTTCGTGGACCAAAGATTGAAGATCTTCATGGACCAGAGATTGAAGATCTTCATGGACAAATCCATCCAAAGAAGATCTTCCTACTGACTAACCATGTCTCTGCAAAAATTTGTCTGTGCATGAACATTGTTGTATGCACGTTGTGTACAATGAAAATGAGATATCAATAATCGTCAAGTCAACCCATGCCTTCTTATCCTCAGTTGGCAAGCGTCCCCATGCATTTAATGTTGAAGGTAGTATAAAAGAAAGTGTGCATCTCCCATGCATACTACTGACTTTTCGAAAGATTTCTTAGTGCATTCTCAAGTCAATCAGCTATTCTCTTCTACTCCCTTACTCTCCTGTGTGTGAAGAAAAAACTTAGTGTTCTTCATTTCCTTGTAAGTACTCTCTGTTTTGTTCTTGTAAGTTCTTCTCTTTATAAGATTGTCTAGGTTAGGCTATCCTTTCCTTTCTTCTGCAACAATCTTTATTGTATCTCTGTGTGTTAATTCTTGATATGCATCAATAAGAATTAAAAAGTTAAAAAAGGTTGTGTAATTGTATTCATCCCCCCCCCCCCGCGTTCTACAATTATTTTTTGTTTATTTACATCCCTTTCGGGACCAACAAGTGGTATCAGAGAAGTTAGCTTAATCTCATAAGCTAGATCTGGAATGGCCTCTTCTTCTTCCAACTCTACTCCTTCTTCTTACCATGAAAATGGCACTATTGCCAAGCCTCCTAAGTTCAACAAGAACAACTTTTCTCTCTGGATAAGTCGCATGACACTCTTCCTTGAAGGTGTTGATAGTCAATATCTCTATATTCTCAAGGATGGCTCTATTGTTCCAAAAGCCTGGCTTCGTCATGAAAAGAACAAAGATGAAGGTGACTCTTCAAATGATTCTAATGATGATGAAAAGAAATCTAACTCTACTGGAAAGTTCATCATCAAAGATCCTTCGTAATACAATGAAGATGACAAAAGGAAAGTTTCCTTGGATACCAAAGTAAGGGTTATCATTGCCCTGTCTCTTCCTGATGATGTTTACCACTCCCTGGTGAACCTCTCTACTGCTAAGGACATGTGGAACAATCTCTTTTTTCTATATGAAGGAACCACTGAAGTCAAGAAAAATAAGAAGATTGGCCTCGTTGGGCAATATGAGCTCTTTGTGCATGGGAAAGGTGAATCTCTCACTGAGTACTACAATAAGTTTAACAGTCTCCTCAACGATCTGAAGTTTCATGGCAAAGTCTATGAAAATGAAGAAGTCTTGTGCAAGTGTTACCAGATTTCTAGGAAAACATATGTATTTGTATCAAGACAAGCAAAGATCTTGAAAATATGCCTCTTACTGCTCTTTATGGAACTATCCATAATTATGAGCAAACCAAACTTCTAAAAAAGGCATTATTGAAAGATCCCAAAAGAACTCATGTTGTTCTTCTCTGCAATGATACGAGGAAGCCAGTCAGTGAACCTTGTATCACTTATCTGACTGAATCTGATGAAGAAGCTGTCAGAAATGAAGAAATTGCTGAAAGCTATACTGGTGATGCTGATGATGAGGGTGATGGACCCACAATTAATGACTTAGCTGACAACATGGCCATGATGGCTACCAACTTCAAAAGGTACGCCAAATGAGGATATGGCACATTTGTGTCTTATGGCTAAAATACGGGAGATAGAAGACTCTGACAAGGGATCCACCTCTACTGTTGCTGCTGATGTACCTTCTACCTCCAAGGAAGCCAAAGATCCGGTCAAACCAAAGAAGGTAAACAACTTTTCTTCTCTTTCTGAATCTGAAAAGGTTCAAGCATTTGATTCATTATTTGTTGATCTTTACAATGCTAGATCTACTAAAGAGAAAGCTGACCTCCAAATTAAAAGTCTAACTAGTCAGTTACAGAAATGCATAAATCAACTAAAAGACTTTGATAAATTGAAAAATGACCTTAAAGAACAAAAGTTAATAAACAATGTTCTTAACAAAGAAAGAACCAAGGTCTACTAAAAGCTTGAGAAAGAAAAAGTCATTCTTTGTAAATGGGCTAGATCATCCAAGAACTTGG